TGCTCTCCCTTTCTCGGCACTTCCCTCCCTCCCTCCCTGCTCTCCCTTTCTGGCACTTCCCTCCCTCCCTCCCTTCCCTGCTCTCCCTTTCTGGCACTGTCCTCCCTCCCTCCCTCCTCCCTGCTCTTCTTTCTGGCACTTTCCTCCCTCCCTTCCTGCTCCCCTTTCTGCACTTCCTCCCTCCCTCCTTCTTGCTCTCCCTTTCTGGCACTTCCTCCCTCCCTTCCTACTCTCCCTTTCTGGCACTTCCCTCCCTCCCTCCTACCTCTCTCCCTTTCTTTGCACTTCCCTCCCTCCCTCCCTTCCTACTCTCCCTTTCTTGCACTTCCTTCCCTCTCCACCTCTCTCTTTCTGTCTATTTGTCTGTCTGTCTGTCTCTCTCCCTCCCCCCCCTCTTCTCTCTCTCCCTCTCCCTCTCCCTCTCCCTCTCCCTCTCCCTCTCCCTCTCCCTCTCCCTCTCCCTCTCCCTCTCCCTCTCCCTCTCCCTCTCCCTAGTGATGATAATGATAAAAGTGATAAAGATGATAATGGTAATGATGAAAGGTGGTAATGATGGATAATCAATGATATTAATGATAATAATAAATAATGAATAATAATGATGATAATAATAAAATAATAATAATAACACTAATGATAACAATGATAATAATAATAATAATAATAATAATAATAACACTAATGATAACAATGATAATAATAATAATAATAATAATAATAACACTAATGATAACAATGATAATTGGCAATAATATAAGTTATAATGATAATGACAATAACAATAACAGTAATAATAATGATAATAATAAAAACAATAATAATAATAATAATAAAATGATGATGATGATAATAATAATAATAATAATAATAATAATAACAAATAATAATAAATAATAATAATAATGATAATCATCATCATCATCATCATCATCATTAATGATAACAAAACAACAATAATGATAATAATAATAAGCAATATTGATAATAATGATAATAATAATAACAATAATAATAATAATGATAATAATGATAATAATAATATATGATAATAATAATAATAAATAATTGATAATAATGATAATAATAATACAAATATTGATAATAATTATAATAATGATAACAACGACACTGCAAGACCACCCAACACATTTACCAGAAAACGAAAAACAAATGCATAGTAAGGGAAAAAGCACTAAAGAATAATAATAACAAGATAAGCTCTAATGCCTTAAACCAAGTCAAAACGGCACGCATCCGAACGCAGCCTCAGCGTACAGTAGGGAAGGATTTCCAGAAGCAGAGAATCCTGTTCGAACGTCCTTTCCCTCGACTTAGCCTTGGGAATTGGTAATCTTGATGACCTCCCTGACCTCCCATGACCCCGTTCTGACCTCGGCGCGGGATGCACAGACTCGTTTTCTGACCTCCTTTGGCACACGTTTTTTTTGGCTGTTTTTTTATTTCTTTGTTTAAATATTGTTTTTTATTGATTTATGTTATATTTGTGGTGTGTTTTTTAATTCTTTGTCTTCGATTTAGTCAGAACGTGTATTTTATATATCATCTGTCTCACTACCTCCTCCATCTCATTCCTTTTATTCTCTCTTTCGCTCTCTCCATCTCCTTTTCTTCTATTCTTCCTAACCCACCATCCTCCCTCTCTCCTTCCTTCTCCTCTGCCCTGCTCACTTTCTTTCTCTCGCACTCTTTCCCATTCACTCATCTCTTCCTCCTCTGTCCCTCTCCCTGTACTTCCTCCCTCCCGCCCTCCGCCCAGGGTCTTCCCCTCGCGCCACGGTTCCCCTTCCCCGCGGGCGGCGCAAGGCGGGAGAGAGGTCGGCCCCAAGTCTGGAAAGTCCGAGCAAGGTTTCCATAGGAATTAGACAAAGAAACCCCGAGATCTGAAACCCGGCGACCCGGGCGGGCGCGGGACTCACCCAGGGGACGCAGTAGCCGTGGATGGCGTTGGTGGCGGCGTAGGTGGTGAGGTAGGGCTGGCGGTCCAGGCAGCACGTCACGCGCCACGTGATGGCCCTGTGGAAGAAGGGCTGCGCGAACACGTCGGTCAGGGGCGCCGCCCCCAGGGCCTCGCACTCGCCGGCGCCGATCGTCGACAGGATCCTCGACACGGCGCGCGGCGCCCCAGCCCACAGCAAGAGCCGCCGTAGCTTCCGCAGCCCGAAGGAGGAGATGAGCGCCTGCCGGCAGAGCAGCAGAAGGGGCGCGGGGTCGCGGGGAATGTTGGCCTCATCGTCGCTCTCCCTCCGGGCGCGGCGGAAGGGGTGGTACGTGTGGAATGTTCCGCCCAGCTGCTGCAGGAGGCTCTGCACTGCCGCAGGCAGGCCGAGGGCAGCAGCGGCCGCAGGGCGCCAGGGTGCTGGAGCCCGCGGCAGCAGAGAGTTGGGGCGAGGCACGGGTGCCACGACGGTCATGGCGCCGCACCTGACACTTGCAGCTACGAGAGGCAGGGACGCGACCGCGCCGCAGTCACTTCCTACAGGTGACGACCATGCCTACACTCCATCAAATAATGCTTCGAAAGATATATATATATATAAACAGTATATTTATCCAAGCTTTGTCAGTTGGTCTTCGGTCCCGATTTACTCCGAGCCAAGAACCACCATGCTAAAGAACAACGTCAGAACGAAGTCCGTCGGCCACACCAGCGTTCAATGAAGGGAACGAGCGCGCGACTTGTTACCGGGTCCTACTCGCGCCAGGTGTGGGGATTGTCTGGCGCTTGTTGTG